GGTAACCGCACCTCGAAAAATTGGCTTTGGCATTAGTCATAGTTTCATGAAAGCTTAGACCCTATTTCCAGTGCCACCCTATCTCGGTCGTTACAACCTTTCCCTTGAGAATCATTTTGCATAAACCCGAGCTATCGAGGAGGCTGGACAAGTGGGCCATCGAGCTAAGCGAGCACGATATCACATACCAGCCGCGAACGATGATAAAGTCACAAGTGGTTGTCGGTTTCGTCGTAGACTTCAATGCAAAGATAATGCCTGAAGTTAAGAAGGAAGCCGTCCAAGCTTCCCTCCAAATGCAAGACCTCTGGATCCTATATATTGATGGCACATCCAACGCTTCATAGTCCAGACTGAGACTTGTACTCAAGGTCCCTACTGGCGAAGTAATTCCCCAGTCCATAAGGTGCCTAGATATGGCTATTTGCAGGACGACAAACTCCCAAACGACAAAAAAGAAGCCAAGAAACTAAGAATGCAAACATCCAGATACAGTCTCTTCCATAGCGACCTGTACAAGAGGACTTACGATGACCCTCTGGCAAAATGCTTGGTCCCAAACTAGACCCAGCGCGTCCTTGAAGAAGTCCATGAAGGCCATTGCGGTGCTCACTCCGGCAACCGAGCACTCATTAGATGCCTCATAGGGGCAGGATACTATTAGCCTACCACGAAAAAGAATGCCTCAGACTTTATGAGAAAATGCAAATAATGTCAAAAGTATGCCTCAATGATTTTCCAAGCAGGCGGACACCTCCATTTGGTCACCTCCCCATGGTCGTTCATCAAATAGAGAATGGATATTGTGGGCCCCTTTCTAGCAGGGCGAGGTAATGTACGATTCTTTTTTATTTTAACTGACTATTTCTCTGAATGGGTGGAAGTAGGAGCCCTGAATGAAGACCGGGCGAACAAAATGCAAAACATATCATAAATGTTGAATTCTAAGAAAGAGGGGGAGGGGGAATAGGTAATGTTGCACCAATGCCCAACTAAAGGGCGACTGCGGTACCAATCAAAAAGACAGTCGTCGATGCTGGACAGCGAAATGGATAGGATTTGGGTCTTCATGAGTAGTTCTTGTCGACGATCCCTTGAAAAAAGTTCTTTGTTGAGCCAGCTTTCTCCCCTGACAAAGGACTTTCCTTGGGTTGGGACTCTTTGGACAAGACTAAGTGCTTCAATTCCACTCATGTCAGCTCATAACTTCGAGGTAATGTACGATTCCTTTTGATTTTAACTGACTTTTTCTCTGAATGGGTGGAAGTAGGAGTGTTCGACCAAATACGGGAACAAGAGGTAATCATCTTTATATGGGCGAACATCATTTGCCGATTCGACCTACCTAAAGAGAATAGCTGCGACAACGAACCCCAGTTCATGGGAAAGAAAATCGTTGAATTCTTCGAGAAATGGCATATCGGGAGGATACTATCGACCCTGTATCACATAGCGGGTAATGGACAAGCAGAGTCCTCCAACAAGTCCATATTAAACATCATGAAGAAAAATATCGAAGACGCCAAGGGACTGTGGCCGAAGATACTGCCAGAAGTATTATGGGCGTATAGAACTACCCCAAAGACGAGCACAGGAGAAACACCCTACTCTTTGGTCTATGGGACCAAAGCAGTTATACCAGTCGAAGTCGGGGAGCCCAGCCTAAGATACTCCCATGAAAGCAGTACTAGTAATGATGAGAGAATAATACAGGAACTCGATAAAATTGATGAACAAAGAGATATGACGTACATAAGGATGGTCGCCCAAATGAAGCAAGCAGAACGTTATTAAAAAAAGAAAGCAAAGGCCCGGCCACTCAAAGTCGGGGACTACATACTCAAGGACAAAACTCAAGCGAGCAACGACTCACGAGAAGGAAAGCTGGCATGGTCTATATAAAATCATAGCCAAAGCAAACAAGGGTTCATTCCAATTAAAGACAATGGAAGGAAAGCAATTACCAAACAATTGGAACATCAGCCACCTCAAATACTTCAACTTCTAAGAGAAAAAGTGTCTCCCAAGCCGCACTCTTGTTTCCTCACTTTAAGTTTTGTCCCATTATGATTTTCTCAAGGAGGTTTTTAATGAGACGGCAAAAGGAACACTTTGAGTCGAAGTATGCGAGGGAGGGACTATTTTTTCTCTTTCATTGTCCGACTCCTCAATACTCTCCAAGTCAAGAAGGGACTAGATAGATTGGGACTAGGGACTGGAAAGCCAACCAATGCCCAAAAAATTTGTAACTCTCTCTAATCATGTAATCAGAGAAACAACATCAAAGTAATAAGAAACTTACGTACATCATAAACACCCATCGGCCCTCGGTCACTATTATGAAAAGGTTATGTTGACACCACTCGAAAAACACCTATCGACCCTTGGCCACGACTGTGAAAAGGTTATCTTCGATCCTGCTCGAACAATACCTATCGGCCCTCAGCCACGACTATGAAAAGGTTATATTCGACTCCACTCGAATAACACCTATCGGCCCTCAGCCATGACTATGAAAAGGTTCTGCTCAACCCCGCTCGAACAGCACCTATCGGCCCTCGGCCACGACTATGAAAACGTTTTGTTCAACCCCGCTCGAACAACACATATTGCCCCTCGGCCACGACTATGAAAAGGTTATGTTCGACCCCGATCGAACAACACCTATCGACTCTCGACCACAAATAAGACAAGGTCATGTTCGTCACCGCTCGAACAACACCTACCGACCCTTGGCTAAGATTAATAAAAGGATAAGTTCGACCAAGTTCGAACAACACCCACCGGAGGTCGAGATTAATAAAAGATAAGCTCAACCAAATACGAACAACACTTACCGACCCTCGACCGCGATTTAAAGAGGTATAGATTAGACCAAGTTTAAATAACGCCTATTAATCCTCGGCCTCGTTCTGATAAACTATGATATATACAAGGACAACGACAAAAGCATGAAGGAGCAAAACGTACAAAGTACAGAAATAAACCACAGCAAATAAGAAAGGTGCAAATAAAGCTTCAACTCTGATATTATAAATAAAGGTTTCTTACAAAGGCTCTTAAAGACGCCAGCAAAAATACACAAAAACTTCAGAAAAAGCAAAAAGAACTACTGTTGATCACTACTATCACGACCCTCAACGCCCTTTCCATCCTTGCCCCGAGGGTATATGGAATCATACCAAACCTCATCCTTGCCCCGAGGGTATATATATATATATATCTTTATCTTTAACTAGCGAATATAATTATTTTTGGTCCCTCGACCAAATGTGTAACTTACCCAAAAAAAAAGTCCTAACAACTCCCTTAGATTTGGCTATTTTGTAACCTTTTCCCCTAACACTAAGGCCCCCTTTGTCCATATATTTTTTTTTCAGAAATGTGTTTGTCCATAAAATTTTGCAAGTTTTTGAAAAAAAATTCTAAAATGAGTTTTTCAAAAATTCAAAATTTTCAGAATAATTTTTTTCCCTACTCACAAAACTGCAACATTTTTTCTAGTGAAATGCATGTCCAAATATAATTTTAAATTCCAAACGCCATTTTTAACTAAACTTCAAATACTATTTTTTTTCAAAAATTACAATTTTTATGTCCAAACGTCTACTAGTAGTAACTCATTTAGAGAAGAGGTAAGCGGAGTTTAGTCAAATAACTTTTTTAATGAGTAAGTCAAAAAATTGAAACAACACATAAAAAAAATAGAGGGAGAAATAATTTAATTTATCACTGAAATATGATAATTTTAAGTATTTTTTTAGTTATTACTATTTCATCTTTTTTCAATTTAGAAGACGTACGTTCACTTTTAGTGTGTCCTTACAAGAATATTAGACTTTATTATGAATAATCTAACTTTAAATTTTTATTTATTTTTACTGAAATAATTTATAGTAACATAAATATCTATAGATTTTTCAAATATCATAAGACACGAGTATTAAAAAGAAAGAATTACAAGAAAATACACATGACTTCACACCATAACAAAAAATGGTCCATCTTTTTAAGTTTTACCCGACCTAGCCCATATTGTACATATTTTGAAATCACTAACTCTTGCAAATTCAAAATCTGTGTTCTTACAACTATTGCTTCTAAAAGCTATGGAGTTAAATATGTGTTCTCACAATCATTACTTTCACTCTCTCTTCTTCTCACATCTTTTACATATGCTCCAAGGGGCCGTTCGCCATTACTGTTGCAATGTAAAAAAAAAAATTTGAAGAGTAGAAGTCCACCATTGAAGGTCATTCAAAGCTTTGCTTTTGAAAATAGAATATTTTGAGTTTGTTAGTTGTTTGGATTGAGTGTTGTTCCAATTGATTGAAATATCAAAAGGAGTTCAAAATTTAAATTTGAAGAGATATTTGAGTAAGATTTGAGTTCAATTTCAAAAAAGACGCAAGGAAGAAGACGAAGTCAGTTTTTTGTATAATTATGTATAATCTTGTATAATAGTGTATATGAGTGTATAAACACATCTTATACACTATTATTAACCTTTATACAAGCGTTTGTAGACGAACTTCTTCCACGATTTTCATTTGTAATTCTTGTTCAAAGCCAATCCGAATCTCCATTAAATAACTTCAAATTTTATATACAACCTCCTTATACTATTTCTAACAAGTCTAAATAACACCCACTCCAAATTTCTCACAAAATTAAATTCAGAGTTTAAACCCACATATTTAAGCTTGTTAAAAATCTAATTTTTACCACCCAAATGGATTTGGTTTGTTAAACTAATATTTGAGTCACAGTTACTGATTCGAAAATTAACTTAAAAGCTTAAGCAATATAGTAATTTTGAGAACATATTGGAGTTGGATATTGAATGTTAACCTATTATTTTTGGGCTAGTCGGTTGTAAATTGAAATATGAGGTATAAAATTGAAAAGTAGGGAGGTAAGTTATTAAATTTTCATTGTACATTTTGTATCAAATCTGTCGCATAAATTGGTTACTGTATACTATATGAAGCCTGTTGAAAAGTGTGCCTTTGCGTCTTCTCTATGCTTTTGACGACCCGAAGCTTCTCCGAATCTCAGTCTCTTTCCTTTCCTTCTCTTTCAATTCCCAATTCTATTTAAACCTCTTTCAGAAACCCTAATTTCCCCTATAATCAATTAATTGCTCAATTGAGTTTCTCTATGATCCTTCCCAAGTCACTAGATATCAATTTAATTCAAATTTATTCTAATTAACAATCTCATACAGTTGATCACAACTAGCTCGTATCAATGGCGAAACAATTCAACGTTCCGCCAGTGATATTCCCCTCCGGCGTACAACACCGCCGGCCTCCGACAGCTCCATTTCAGCCGCCGATATCTTCAAACCCTAGCATCCCTTTCATGTCCTTCGACGTTACCTCGGCGGCTGCTTCCACTTCATTCTCCACTCCACATTTCGCCTCTACCACCATCGGTGCAGGCGGCTCAACTGGCTTTGAAGATGAGCCGCTGTTACTAGAGGAGCTCGGGATCAACACAAAACAAATTTACCAAAAGACCCTGTCCATTCTCAACCCATTTAAAATCAAAACAGATCTTCATGAAGACGGTGACTTATCCGGGCCGTTTATATTTTTAATGTCATTTGGGCTTTTCCAATTATTAGCTGGAAAGATTCATTTTGGGATCATATTGGGCTGGGTTGTAATGGCTTCGTTGTTTCTCTACGTAGTGTTCAATATGCTTGAGGGTCGAAATGGGAACCTTGATTTATACAGATGTGTTAGCCTAATTGGTTATTGTATGTTGCCAATTGTGATATTATCCGTGATTTCACTGTTTTTGCCTGGTGGATTGGTAATCAAGGTGTTAACGGGAGTTTTTGTTGTATGGGCCACACGGGTTTGTACGAGGCTTTTGGTTGAGCTAGCTTCTTGTGGAGACGAGCATCGTGGGCTGATTGCATATGCTTGTTTCTTGATTTACATGCTTTTCTCTTTGCTAGTGATATTTTGATGTTTACAGAAAGGAAATAGATTAGAAATGCTGGTATTTTGCAGCTTATGCTTAATACGGATTTTAGGTATTTTGGAGGCTTTAACTGTTCGGATTCAATTGTTGTTAGTTATTGAAAAGAGAATAGAAAAACTGAATTATGCAGTGTTAATGTCACAATGTCTCATTAATATATCCCAGTTTGCTTGTTATACTTTGAGAGGTTTAAAAGTTAAGAGGCTCTGAACTTTTCGCCATGTATGCTGTTTCAAATTTCGTGCTTCCTAAAAATGTGTAGCTTTTTTCTTTCTCTGGGATATGCAGATGAAGATGGTTAATTGGGCATGGTGGTGTGCTAAAATCTTTAGTTTTCAAATTGATAGCCAAGTCTTTTAGAACTGTTTTATTTTCCTCTTTTCAGTTTCTGTGTAAAAACCAAAAGTAGAATTAATTTCAGTAGTGCTGTTGTTGATATGTCTTGATGTTATACTGCTCTTTGCTGGCAAAATGTTCTAATTGTTTTATGAGATGTAGTGTGAGCGAAGATAAGTGAAAGATAGCACGAAAAACCAGTTGGAAGATATCTATTTCGGTGGAGAATGCTGATTGAGTTCTGAACCACCATCTTATTGCTCACCTTCGTATCAGCAAAGAGAAAGTAGGGTGATCAGTGATGGATATCTGTGTCGCTCCTCCTCGTCTTTATCCTGCATATCCTAATTAGAGAATTTAAGGGCAACTAGCGATGGTAAACTGTCTCATGTTCAGATCATAGTGATGGTAAAGTGGTAGTGGCTATCTAGACAAATAAAATGTATCAGACTGTTCTATCAAAGAATAGTTTCTAGAAAGAAAGCGAGTAGTATATTCCTTATAAATGGGACATTAGAGCTATATGTTTAGATCTGCTCCCACAATTGCACGATATTATCAACTACAAGTTCTTAGTCTGCATCTGGATAGGTTAGAATTTTGTAGATTGAACAGGTCCGGAGCAACTTCTGTTGTTGATAACGCTAATCACTTTGAGTGCAGTCTATGTCAGAATAAATTAATTGTTTTAATCAGTGATGAGCAGACATTGCTAAAGCAAAGTTTATTTTCATTTAATATTTAAAAGAATTTCTCTGCTTTTCTGAGCAGGGTAAGGGGCTACATTGAAAATCTGTTGTTCTTATTAAAAGATCCCGATTTCCGTTGTGAGATGTCATTGTGTATCATATAAGTAGGCTTACAGAAAATATCTTATTTGATATTATTTGTCTGTAGGATTAAAAAGAGTCATTAGTAGTAATCGCTCAGCTTTATGGACTAGCTATTTTTCAAGCTAGTTGGTTGAGCAATTCTGGATACATAAGTGTGTAATATTATTGAGAAAATTAGGTTGGACGAAATGCTATCATGAGTTGTTTCTTGGATTCTCTCTTTTTTGGCTGTTGACTTATACTTCTTTGCTCATTAAATTTGGTGACAAAAGTCATCATGATTCCAGTCTGTTTGCTGTCAAAAAGTTTAGCTCTGATTTTCTTTTGCTCATATATTTTTTCCCTCTTTCTTTGACAAGTAGCTCTATCTCTAAGATGAGTTAATTAAAATCTTTGAAATTTTGTTAAGCTTCATCGGAATTCTGGAGGAAACTCTAATTACGTCCTTCATTTTGTTTGGTCCATGCAGATTCTGCAATTTTTTAGCTGCTGTTGTTTCAAGTTATAATGTGATGGATGTTTTGATATTCAATATCGTCATTGCTCTTTTACTCTGTTATATTATGTGGCAAGCTCATCTGATATCCTTTAGGCGTGCTGGTTGCTATACTCTAATATTTGCTTAGAAATCATGATGGATTGACATGACTTGAAGCTAAGGGTGTTAATGAATCTCTTTAAAAAATGATTAAACTGACCGAATCAAATCATATTGTACCAATTATTAGGTTTCTTTTCATAAAATCGTAGTTTTATATAAATCTATAATTGTATCGAATAATTAGATTGGTTTTTAATAGTATAAAAATAAACTAAAAAATTATCGAGTTGCAGTAATTTAATTTATATATGAAAATATATTTTATATATTAAGTTTAAAATTGACAAAATATTAAATTATTTGCCTTGGGCCTTGGATTACAACTATGATCCAATAGGTAATTAACACCCAAAATTTAACTCTTAAATTAACGGATTGAGTTCCAAGTTAAATATTCTTTTACATCCACTAGATTTTTCAATACAAAATACAGGATCTAGACAAAAGTTGCTGGGTTCACGGGAACCCGTAGTTATTATGCTGGATCCGCCCCTGCCCCCACCCCTACCTCTTTTCTCTTCATTGCAACTCTGAACAATTCTTGGCTAGTCTTCATTTCTCCACAAACTAATCATTTTGGCGTTGGTTGGTCTATCTCATTTTTTTCAGTTTAGGGCAAATGTATGGTGGTGACAACATTTCCGGCGATCTTCTTTGGCTGATTAAGACGACGAAATTATTGGAAACATTCAGGCGTGGGAAGTAATAGGTGCTTAAGGAGGTCTGTTAGTTTTGATTTTAACGAGTGTCGCCGGGATGCCACTTTTTTCGAGGAAAACCTTGTCGGAATGATTTTGATATTTTTTTAGAAAATCTGATGACTTGTTTGAACTAATTTCTAGACTGATATTTGATTAAGATATGCATTAGGATATGAATTGATTAGATTTTAATTTTTACTATTGGAAATAGTGGCTAGGTAAGGGAAGGTTTTGGCGGAGCTTTGGTGAAGAAGAAAGGAAAGAGAACAAAATTAAAAATTTAGTAAATTGATTTTGAAAAGGATGGGACCCAGATATTACAAATGTCAAACAATAAATGATCTTAGCATGATCTGACGTGGTATTTATGTCAGGCAATTGAGATACACGCTCTTAGGGAGGGGTTTATTATAAGTATTTTTATCGAGTTGAGGTGCTAAAATAGAAAACCGAAAGTTTATATATGGACTTTATAATCCGGTGCAAGTTTAAGTGGCCTAGAGGCCATTGCGCCAACATTAATTAGGGTGGCTCAATGGAACTGGTGGCTTAATACTAAAATATATTAAAAGACCCTGAAATTTCTTTCATAAAATTCATATAATACTAAGATAAAAAAAAGTCTATATATCTAGTGGTGAGAGAGCAATGTATAATGTGCGGGTTAGGCGAACGTCATATGGTATTGAACTCTCCCATATACAAAAATATAGCATTAAGTGAATATGGCAAAATGGTTGAGCCTAATATCCATCGTGTTTGAAACCTTATGACACTTGTCTTGGGGATTTCTTAATTAAAAAAGATAGACACAAAAGTATTTGCTTTCTGATGTGTAGATCAATCAAATGCAACAAAAAATAATAGCTAATTTAGAGAATTTGAGTTGAAATTAGAAAGTAAAATAGTGAAAAATATGAAAAAATAAATAAAGAAAAATAGAATTGATGAGAAGGTAAATATATTATTTGATTTAGTGAGAGAAATTTTTTATCCTACTAACTCATTCAATCCCACCTCTATCAAATTTTATAAAAATATTAAAATTTAAAATATTTTATCAAATAATTGTATAAATACAAATTACATATCTATACTATATTAAAGCATGAAGGCCCTTAGAGAAATATTGTTCGCTTTTTTTACCCTTTAAAAAATAATTTTACATTAGATAAAATAGTTATTTCGTTATTTTCCTAATATTTAGGAATAAACATTTAATTATTTCTCTAATATTTATGACTTCAAATCAACTTTGTTTGGATATTAAATCCTTCCGTATTTGAACTACATAGTATAATAAATTTGAAAAGAAAAATAACAACACATGAAAATTAGCAACACATTGGTTTTCTTTGTATTGTAAAACTTTAAGTTTGTGATAATTACCTATTCTTCAATATTATTTTAGTCTCCAAAAAGCAATTTCAATATATATAATTAAGTAACTACTCGACTTACTAAAATCTTAAGTAATGTTTCTTTTAATAAAATGAAAAAATTATTTTTTAAAAACCATAATCAAATTATGATTGAATACGTTCACAAAAATTGAAAAATTATTGATGCGAAACTTAGAGATGAATAATTTCATAATAGAAAATTGAACATTTTAAAAAAGGAATTACATACC